CTTAGCGATGAAATGGGCGAACACATCGCGCAACTATATTTCACGTTTTAGTGGAAATGCCTGAAAGGTTAAGTGTCAACCACAATGATCACTCGTGACTGCTAAGCCCGGATGGTACCACATGAGTTTTCCGAGTATACCCCTTAGCATATGCAGCTCCCATGGAGGCAATCATGCCTGAATGCGAGTCTCGAGCATGACTGGGCACCAACGAAATCACACGCAATCTGCGCCACCCCCAAACTTCTCTGGTAACTCATGTCGTAAACTAGTCTGATACGCCATTGGTTGATTTGGGATTGGTTACCCAACGAGGGGTGCGCTTTGATGCGTTCGCGCTAGGTGGATGATATTTGATTGGCTTAAGGAGGCTTCTGAAAGGTGTGTGGACGAAAGCTATTTCTTTAAGGCTGAGTTTAAAGCCCTATGCATGCAATTAACTGCGAAAAAGTGACGAACTCACAGGGCCTCGTGTAACGTTACAGTACGCTTTCCGTGGCGTCTGTAAACTGATGCGTTATCTGTGGCTTATCAAGGCACAAAGTGTTTAGGCAAACTTTGCCGCCAGAGTTCGCTTTGCAAAGTTTCGTTTATTCGTATATCTCTTAGGAGATGACACATTTGCGGTAGAAGTGCCTACTGTTTCTATTTTGCTAACCGAATTCCTGAAAATACCTATGTATACGAGATCTTTGTGAAGGTCTGCATCGTTTTTTCGGGATCTTTTATAGCGTTATCACGATTTGTTAGCTTAGATTTAAGAAGCAAGCCGCCAAGCTGGACCATTAATTCAATGGACAGAAGGGAAAGCAGGTTTTTAAAATTACCTGAATCGCGTGTGACCTGTTGCTTAGTGAATTCTATCTCTAGTATAATGAACCTTAACACGGGGATGCTCCCTATGAATGGAGGAACTACCAGGGTGACTAAATGAAAAGTCAGCTAGTCCTCACAGAATTTGAAAACGGAGTTCATGAGAAAAAGGTAACGCCTGAAGTGAATGTATAATTTTCACAAGAGATGGTAGAAGTTTAAGAGAACTTTCCAAAGACAATGTAAGTTAATTGCAATAGGGGTCACTAATGAATCGAGGAAAATGGTCCCGATCGGAATCCACAGTGCAGCGAGGATGGACGCCTCACGCTAACCGAATTTGAGTATCCTTCGTCGGCAAGTACTGTTCCCGATACTGGAAAAGAAGGCTGAGAGGTGACCAGGAAACATGTATTGTCAGAGGGTACAATGGTCCCGCGTATGGGCAATAATTACGAAACCAAACAATGTGTAGCTAGGGAAAGATGTGAGGGACTACGCGATTCAGCGGTGTGTTGGAACCAACCGTGCCGCCGTGCATTTTGGTAAGTATTGGGTCAGATAACCAAATTCAAGATACATTCCGTCATTCTGCAAAAAACCCCAGTGCAAAATGCGATAACAATTCTAAGTAGTATTTCACACTCCATACTCAGTCAAGCCGGAAGAATCTCTGCTTTGCTAGAGCAGCTCATGGTAGAAAGTGATTCCGTCTTCTGAAACCATTGCTCGTATTTGGTGAAACGAAAGGTTTTGTGGTCAGTTTGTGCATACAGATGGATCAGTGTCTAAGTGATTGCGCTATTGCTTGGCTGTATGAATACTAGACACAGAGGAAGTAGTGGCTGTCAAACTGACATCTCGGCTACACAGATTATGAGACAGGTAAATGCTTTGAGAAATTTTATTACTTGAGGAAAAAGAATTGTCCTCAATTAAAGATATTTAATTTCGTGGTCAACTGGTAGGTCTATGAAGTGTTGGAAGCTGATGCTGGGCAGATTTCGGTACACTCACATTCGGTCCGATAGGGGGTGTTCCGTTATTTCATAGATGGTGGGAAATTTAACGCCAACACATTACCCGCGTTCAGTACTGGCACTTTAATTAGCTGGATGTGTAACAACTGTCACCGACCGTCTAGTTGACTAGCATGTTCCACAAGAGTATGTCAGTTTTGCAGCCAAATTAACCCGAATAAAACCCATGGTTCAGAGAACTCAAATTCAGACAGCACCGCAAAACTCTAATCGACATTTTAAGTATCCACCAAAAAACAAACAACAAGTATGTTCTGACTCAAATGTGCCGTTTTTTATTAGTAGTATTTACACGCTGTGGTACAGATATTGTACCGGCAGAACCATGGCGAAATAAGAAAACAGGATAAGAATAAGTAAGAAAGAAAATGCACCTTATTGTCTAGTTTTTCACTCACAGATTTTGAGATACTATTGTTTGTTTCATTGGAAAAGGGAAGGGAAATCACTGCAATACGCATAGATAAGTTCGCCATTAACGTCTGTCTTGAGCTATAACTTCCAGGGGCTCTAACCAACGACACTTTGTACAAGGGGTGTTAAAAAGAAACCAAACTTTTGAACTAGCGCACCAACCGGTATAGGGAGCGCGCTGCGGCTACTGGGCGCCTATGGAGGCTTCTTTAGATAACAAACTGCCATTTGCTGCATTTCGCTCTGACTGTTAGCCAGTGAGCTACAACCACTGAAGTGAGCACCTGCACAATCGATTCATCGGATTAGTGTCGAAGAGACAATAAAAGAGCTTGAAGAACAACGTGTGTGTGTGTGTGTGTGTGTGTGTGTGTGTGTGTGTGTGTGTGCAAATTCTCCATAAAGCTTGCGGAAATTTTATAGGGATATTTCAGTTGTTTAGCCAAGCACACGGGGAGGACTGTATGAGTCGCATGCAGTGCTGTGAATGATTTTAATGTCTTGAACAAGGCAGAATGTCGATCGGCGACGATCTCAAGCCTGGACGACCTTCCACATCAACATACGATGACTGTGTTGAGGGTGCGTGCTGCGATCCGTAAAATTTGTCGTTTAACAGTTCGAGAAGTTGCTGACAAAGTGGGCGTTAGCGCAGGAGCATGCCATGAAATTTTGGCAAGTTTGAGGGATGCTGTGCACAGGAAGGAACCTGAACTGTAGGAAAACCGGACTTGGATGTCGCATCTTGACAATGCGCCGGTTCACGCATTGCTTCTTGCCATCAGCTATCTAGCATAACATCACAATCCCGCTGTGCTCCATCCAACGTATTCACTGGACCTAAGGCCAAGACTTTTCCTTTTTAATATACTTAGAATTAAGTTGTAAGGACGCCGTTTCCAAAACATAGAGGAGATTCAGGGCAATGCAACAAGAGGTCTGTGCACCATCATAGAAAGTGCGTTCCAGGCTTCCTAAAAATGGAAGCACCTTTGGGAACGGCGTATTGTTAGTAGGGGGTTACTTCAAGGGGGAAAGTGCTTGAAATGTTTGCAATAAGCAATACAGATGTTATAGCAAAAATTCGGTTTTTTTCCTGTGCACCCTTCGTATCTCTGAAATCTCAACTAGGGAGTGGAGAACAAACCACCGAGGCCAACTGTTTCGTCAACTTTCTCATGTGGCTACTCCAACTTTTAACCTGTCCATCTCGCCGTCTTCTCCAGCGCTGTCCAGCAACCGGGAACAACGCTGGACACGGAATACGATAAGCGAACATGCGCAGTAGGCGTCAAAGCTATCGCAGCTCACACAGTGGGACTAGCCCCTCGAACGAGTGGTCGCCTCCACCCAAGACACGATGTTTAAATTGCACATTGGTTACGTGGTGTAATTATCACACACGGGCAATGAGCCGCAAGCAACGGTGCTGAAAGACAGAGAGATGGCGCAGGTCGACGATACGAACAGGTCAAGTCTCGCAAGCGTACAGCAGTACAGCGTGAACAGTTGCACAATAAACCCGCCCTTTAACGGATAGTGGGATGTCATGGCGGCGCCACAAGTGCCTCAGTCTGGAGAAAGTGAGACGAGCTTTTGAGGCACACATCGAAATCTCATCCCCAACAGCCCCAACCAGTAGTTATGCAATTTCCTAACTAGACAAAACTATCCACGACCTCCAGTGTTGCAACACCAAGAGTGAGTATTGGTACAGCCAACTGAAAGTCTTGAAAAACAGCTTTGCACTTGGATGGAGAAAAAGCCATCCCGTACTTTGACGCTTCAATCGCCAAGCAGACGGCGATTGCAAGTCCGATTCGGACGGCCTGTGAGCCATCACCCGGAAAGACGATATCATCAGTCTAGGTCAATAACTGGGCTATCTGAGAGTAGCGCAAGTGTGTGATTAATTACAGGTCAGCATGTACTTATTCGGAACATACTCATAATCCGAGGAAACAGGTTTATTCTACCCAATAGAACATTGTTCTTGTCGCACTGCCTACAAACATACGCAACATTGATAAAACTCCACATTGCCATAAAATCACACATGTCTTATCGGACGATTGTAACCTGCACTTTTGGCACTCACGCTGCTGACCAGGGTATTTCGTCCGGCTTTGTGTTCACCTCGCCAATACAGTCCACACCAGCAGTATCGCGGGTTCTCACACACCAATGCGCATCAACTCTGTGTCCATGATAAACTATCTAACTCAGGCCATCCTAGGACCATAACACAGTGCATGACTAACTACTTCGACGGTAGACCTGAAAGCCTATACTAAAAGCGATAGAGATTAGGCTTTCATGGGGAAAATTAATGGCCAACGGCTAGACTCCTTACCCAATTTTAGGGGTTGATTTTCCATATTAGATGCGTAAATCATGTACTTGCTTATATCACTTGTTGTGTAGCGACTCGGACACTTGTGAGAGATGTGCCAAATACGGAACATTAAAGAAGATACTAGGGAGTTGGACCCAACATATGGTATACAGGTTACAAGGAACGGGAGGCGAACCAGTAAGGGCATGGAACGTGTAACACGGGACTCAGTAGAGCAGTTTATGAAAGCGGAAGTGCCGTCAGTAAAACTAATGGACGTTGGCAACAACAGTAAAATCTAATGTTGTAAAATACTGAAAGTGTGTTTTCAGGTGCATTACACACTATGTTCCCGTTAATTTAAATATAACCACATTTTTTACACCGATACTATTCAGAAGTCTCCTTGGAACAAGCATACAAACCGAATCTTATAAAGTAATCAACAGAGGGTTTCAGGTTTTACGCACCAGATCCGAATCAGTAAATTTCTCTTTCATCTGCTCACTATACTGACTTTAGTGTCAAACTGATGCATTCGATCAAGACCCAGCATGTCAAGTGGAAACGGAGAATGATTTGGAGAGATTGATACATTTTCTGAAAAGAACTGAGCCCATTCTAACGGAACAAATAGAGAAGAATTGCCGTTCCAGAGAATTTGGGCGCAAAACAACCGAAGCCCCTATTACAGTGAGCCTACAGCTGTCGTCCACAATAAAACCAGAAATAGCTAATATTGACGGGGTAAATTGCTTACAACTAAGCACATTATTTGATCTCAGCTTTCACCCACCTGTTTCACCTGGAATTGTACTGGAGCCGTGCTTGGCATAACGTATCCTTTTAGGTTATGCAGACAAATGATTATGTTGTGCACACATTATTGTCTTATGATATGCGGTGCTTCCGACACCTAAGTGCGTGAACCTACTCACCATGGTATATAATGTGTTCTGCATAGAGCCACTGCGTTTTCGCACTACATCACGTAAGGAGGTTGAGTGATTCTGGGATGTGATACCGTCTAGCCCATTTGATGGTGTTGTTTTCGTTAGCCAGTAAAGTGCAAGTTGGATGGGGTAGTATTCGCGCACGGGCTTTGTCAGAATGGTGAGGTGGCGCCGAAAATATTCGTAAACATTTGAACAAATTTTACACCACTCGATGTAGAAGAACAACCGAATTATGTTGGCAAGTGCTCATTGAACATCGCAGCTGGTGCACCTTTATCTCATAAGAAAGTCTGCAGAGTAAGACATTACTGGCCACCATAGATGACACGAAAGAGGCGTGTCCAATACGGAATAGTAAAGAGGATTCGCAAGACCGGACCCAGGAGTTAATGGGCGAAGGGCAACAAGAATGGGAACGCAGGAAGTGAGTAAGTGAGTGTAGAAGGAAGCACATGGTTGGGGGGGAGTTCAGCAGGAAAGACGGACAATTAGAAGAGAAGAAAATAAGCAGTGATACGAAATATTGCACGAACAACTATTGTATGATTTCGAAAACAGCCACATCAGTACCATAGTCAAGAGGTTCTTGGAACTGACACTTTAGATCTGCTACTTTATCTACAAGTTTCATTTACAGACTCCAAACGTATAAACCCCGCTCAAATTTGCTTTTATTTCTTGTGTTGCTTTTCTGTCGAAATGTTGTCCTCTGCATCCCGTTCCTGTGATAATTGTTGCGGTGCGAGGCGCTTCGATTATATCCAGCACATGAACGCGTTTGGCTGATAACCAGTGTAAACCAAATGCTGAACAGCCGTTTGTAGAGTGAGCGACTGAGCCAATCTCTGGCTATAAAATGCGTTGGCAAGGAGTCAGCTTAAAATCGCAGCGACATCCGTGAAACGTATCTGGCAGCGCTATACCCATTGTAGAAGAATGATAAGTTCGACTAATGTCGGCAACAATATTTCGATGCACACAGGCATCACACGTAGAGAAAACCACGGTATAACCGATACGACTGATGGAGACCTAGCTAAAACACCTCTTTCTTATATACTTCAGGATCCGAACACCAGAATACTTATATATATATATATATATATATATATATATATATATATATATATATATATATATATATATATATATATATATATATATATATGGTTGGCGGCATCCGCCTTCGGATTTACCTGTCACTGTTGCCAGCCACAGGACGTATGCGCCTACAAAGTGACCATGGGTGGCTTGCGCTGCACCACCCACACACCCCATATCCAGTGTAAACCCGAAGGAATAAGATCGAGAGGCACGTGGATGGCAGGTACGTTTCATCAACGGAGCCGACCCACACTCCTTCACATGCAAACGTAAGCACACCGTATATAGGGAAACAAGCGAACCCAAAGCGGTGGATGGACCGTAGTCTGCTCCACACTGAGTGCGTGGAACCACTCTTCGAGCCTAGCACGACCACAAGGACCGTGCACCCCGTCCCCTCCAGCAACGACCAACTGTCTCCTGGAGCCAGTATGGACGAGGTAGTGGGTAATATACAGGTAGGCACCTTGTCCACATGCACATCAAGCGCAACCACACCTAGGATATCAAGTAAGTGCCAACTCCTGAGACGACAAGAGGAAATGAGATAAATCAGATGACGCATAAAGATACGGAGACGTAATTCTTCCCTAAATGGGAGTATAAAAAGTTATGAACGAGTCCCCGTAAGTTCAAGAGATCAGTAAAGATATTTTAAGGAAATGCCACAAACGCGAAAATGTTATCCAAATTAGATAAAAGTAGCTTCAGCGACGTGTGCAAGTTTATAGAAGATAGTACAGGAAGACATTAATATGAGAAAGCATTAGGACAAAATTGCAAACCCACCACCTGAAATAAAGAGACACAGCATGCAAGCACACAGTTAGTAAATCGAAAGCAGGGTACCTACAAACGCTGTGCCGGATCCGTCTACGTTCTCTGCATGACACGTCGTCGCTTCGGTATTGGCCCCGAGTGGCTTCACGCATGGCTCACTAGGCCTGCCTGACCCGGCATTCGCGACCGCATGTGTTACTGCACCATGCGCTCGATGTCGATGGAGTACAACCCATCAGCGCTTGCCGCTTCCGCAATTGCCGCTTCTTCTCTGCATGCATAAGGTCTTTCTCCCGCACTTCGGCAACGGCCTTGATGATCAGACCGCGACATGCACGCCGATCAACCGCCTTCGATTCCCATAACATGCAATCAAGATTAGAACGTGAGAGGCTCACTTTGATCATGTCATGATAATGTAAGCTTGGTTTCCCCACATGCCGCTTCCCAATCCTCAGCTGACCATATAATAGTTGTTTCGGTATCCGCGTCGAATCGATACAGCTCACATGACGGAGCCATCTCAAGTGTCTCAGCAAAAGTATGCAGTCAAGTGAATACATTCCACTTCGGAGCAACACGTCCGCGTTCGCAACTCTGTCGCCGCATCCGATGCGCAGAATCCGTCGCAAGCACTGTTGATGGAACCGCTCGAGATATCGCACATCCCGCCGGCACGTCGTCCATGTTTCACTGCAGTATAGAAGAATGGACAGCACCAATATATATATATATATATATATATATATATATATATATATATATATATATATATATATATATATATACATATATATATATATATATATATATATATATTGGTGCTGTCCATTCTTCTATACTGCAGTGAAACATGGACGACGTGCCGGCGGGATGTGCGATATCTCGAGCGGTTCCATCAACAGTGCTTGCGACGGATTCTGCGCATCGGATGCGGCGACAGAGTTGCGAACGCGGACGTGTTGCGCCGAAGTGGAATGTATTCACTTGACTGCATACTTTTGCTGAGACACTTGAGATGGCTCCGTCATGTGAGCTGTATCGATTCGACGCGGATACCGAAACAACTATTATATGGTCAGCTGAGGATTGGGAAGCGGCATGTGGGGAAACCAAGCTTTTATATATATATATATATATATATATATATATATATATATATATATATATATATATATATATATATATATATATGGTAAGCGGCATCCGCTTTCGGATTTACCTGTCACCGTGGCCAGCCACAGGACGCCTGCGCTTACAGAGGGACTATGGATGGCTTGCGCTGCACCACCCATAGCTCCAACCACATACCCCATATCCAGTGTAAACCCGAAGGAATAAGACCGGGAGGCATGTGGATGGGAGCCACATTTCCTCAACAGATCCGGCCCACACTGCTTCAACGTGTAGAGCAGCAGCACTCCTGTCTATCTTTATAAGCAATCATGCGTACCAGACGTACACAAGGCGGTGGCTGGGTCGTAGTCCGCTCCACATTGCATGGAACCACTTTTTAAACCTAGCAACGCCGGTGACCGAGTGTTCTGCACCCCTGGCTTGCAATCATAAGGTCACCGGTCCGAATCCGCGGTCTCGTGGTGTACTCCACCAACTGTGTTTAATTCTTCCGCGAGCATGACTACACCAGTGCAGCGCTCTCTATAGAGTGGCTCGAAGAGTTGATGGTAGATCTCGTTCTTAGCTGAGTCAGACACGCAATCCGCTGACAAAAAGCAGCTCTTATCAACCTCACGGCCGAATGATCGTACCGAGCTTTCTAGCCAAATTGTGATGAGTCGGCTGTGTACTGGGATTCAGTCAAGTAGCACCACTTTTGCGCGCACACTGAGGGTAATTCACACACCGGACTGGTGCTCAGATTCAGCAGTTGCATTTCCGGATAAGCAAGATGTGAATGTACCGCCGGAGCATGAAGAAGGTGATGTTAGTCGAAGGATTGCATACAGGTATCAGATATTCATTGTGATGGCTTTTATGATGCAGCCTGGTGACGTTGATAGAAAATTTTTTCTAATTGTTACCGGCTTCAACGTAATAGTATGAGTAAATATCAAAAGGTTATCTGTCATCCGGTTTGTTCACTAAAATATGTGAGAATCGTTCCCCACTCACAGTGTCAGAACTTTCTTATTCAACAAATACCGTCAATAGATATGGCTGTTTGCGTCACAACGGGTGGTGCACGCACGAGGGCGTTTTGGTATTGTGGAATATAACCCAGATGGATGGCCGTAGATTGAGCAAGAAGTTGGAAGCAAATAGTTGTTACACAGCCGCCTCCTTTCATCCATCTGCACTTTCAGTGTTGGCCGCAGGAACTTTTGCTGGTGAGTGACATCTGAGTGAGAAAAAAAGCGCATCGTTTCTTTGCTCAGATTCTAATGGAGGTAATTTTACGATGAGGGACAAGCTTTTGCACTCTCAATGTAACAATTATTTCGCCCTTTTCCCCCGTTAACAAGTGGCTGATAGGCAATTATTGTTAGGTAAATGAATACTATGAGGAATTGTGTCGGTTACATCAAAAAAGAAATATAGCGTAATCTTCGACGTTAAGCTCAATTTTATTCATTTCGATCGGCATGTTCGCTGCACAGAACCATTGACTACTTCGCAAGTCAATGAATAGATCCGATGTCTAAGTCACCCGAAAAGTAGCAACATTTTGCTTAGGTAGTCTTACGCCCTTGCTGGAAAAGTTCCCGCCATTAGGCCACGGGAATAAGAGTGGGCACTAACATATTTTGTGCGTTCAAACACAGTACGGTAGAGTCGACAGTATTAGTGCTTAGCTTAAGCAATGGCCAACAAAGAAAACAACCGTCGGGAAACTACGGGCCAGAAGTACCCCGAAAAGAGACCAGCTTGCATGGACCTCACCTTTCTAGTCCCATAGGTACAGTAACTTTATTCTCGCGAAGACAGTTGATCATTCCGCGTGTTCCAGAAGACACAAGCATATGCGAACAGCGGAGGACGAACAAAATTTTCACACGGGTTAGTAAGCATTGCTTAAATCAGTCTCGGTGCATCTAACGGGCTTGGTTAAAGCAGTACTTGTCATCTTAGGTGTTTATGAGACAGTGGTTCTGTTTTTTTCGTGATTTCACAGCTTGAGTGGGTGAAGGACAGTAGATTGAAGATTTCGTCATAACAAAGTGATAATGTTAAGTGACAAAATGTAGGTGGCTAGGTAGATCATTCAACCACTATTTAAACATAGTTGTTGACATGCGGAGTGTACTTCATCAAGACAGCATTACACTATCAGATCAGTTCATGGAGCACACTTTAAATAAACCGTAAACCATAGCGCAAAACTGTAAAACACCATGCAACTTCGTAAAACTTAACTTTCGACTTCTTTAGGCGAACTACTGGTGTACAATTTCGCCAAGGATTCCGAAAGTCTGATAGCATCCAACAGCTCCGATGATGGAAGTTACACAGAATCTATCATCCAGATTGAATGGCTTTTAGACCGTCGGGGTACAGATAAGTCGTCAGAAGTAACACGACATCTAACTGACCGAATCTTGACCATCGGGACTGATGGACGAATCGCCTTCTGGGCACTTGATCTCCACGGAAGAGATGTCAGAATGCGCTGCGTAAAACTGTGAGTGGACCTATTGCCTTGGTAGTTAATACTTTCTGCTGTTGACAAGTATAACTCATTCCGTGTCGTCCCCGTTTGTCCACATAGAGTAAGGCCCATTGCTTAGCAGACCGTTATAATCTTGATCTGCAGTCTTATGTCGGTTACCAGAGTTCAGCTGCGTGACTAGCGGATGGTACCATGCTATTGCAAGTGAGTACACTAACATGGGTAACGCATTACCCGCATGATTCTGAAAACTTAAATTCATACACAGTGTACCAAAAGTTATCGTGCTCAGCCTCCTTATAGGTTGCCATATTCGCTGCTTCTGTTGGCTGTAATCACCGTGGCATCTTTCGTATGAGGGCGCAGTCAACAAGGTGATGCGATATTTTTTTCGTTTACACAATAGTTGCTCGCAGTTATTCCGACGTTCGAGGAGTGGCTTTTCAACAAACCTCTTGCAGGTACTTCGGTTCTTGCTGACACATAAGTGATCGGAAATAGCCTGACTAATGCTCAGTATTAAATCATTGTTTTCAGTGTACAAACAGAGATTCTAGCACCACGCATCGCCTGATATCTCACTTGGATGAATGTGATCATGCAACGGATCAATGTACTTTTCCAGTATTCAGTTCAGTAACCGGGATATGATGGTTCAAATGGGTCCAGCGTATACTCGCTCTGGTGTTCGGAAATCAAGCCGTTCAAGTAGCCTTGGCTACGCACACAACCAACTCCCATGTGGATTCACTGCGGCCGCAATCTCACCTTTTCAGCCAGATCGTCTCGCAATCGGCACAGAAGCAGGTGGTATATTCCTGTGCGATTTGGGCACCGCCGCATATTCTACAGAGTCAACGAGTGAGTCCGGTTTAGATTCACAGAAATGTCTGTCAGATTCCAAAGGCCACAGTATCGCCCGGTGCTACCAACTATAAACGACTGATAATCTATCCAGAATTTGTAGAGAACTTATAGATAAGCTTAAATTATACTTAACAGAATCACAAATTCATCAGTTACTCGTTGGAGCAATGGAATTATCACGGATAAAAAGCAAGCGCTTAACAATTTCCCGTCTCACTCTGTGTAGCGCGACCGAGAAGTGAATACTTCAAAAAAGTAACATTTAACGGTGGATTCACCGAAAATTTCACGTGTACACATGGTTTGGTTACGCTTTCTGGTGTCCCAACAAAGGGTTAAATCATCTAATGAAGGTGGTATAATGCATCATCAAGTGGAAATTTAAATTCAGCTAATATAGAAAATGACAGAATTCGACAATTAAGTTCCAAGACTGACACACGAAGGGAGAAAAAGTTCCGCCGGCATTCCAACCGGCTGTCGCCAACCCCAAATGGTGGCCTTTCAGTAAGGCATTGTGGCTGCATTTCAATAACGGTCGGCATGGGTTTCTAGAATCCTTGAGAATCTGACACATCCATATGAGATCACCTTGAGGAAGGCGATGTTGTTCACTGAAAACGTGTAGTCTTTATTGTTAACTGCTATTGGAGCTAGAGCAAATCCTAGACATTCAATCTACCCTCAGATGTGGGTTCTCAAGAGCAGTGATATCAAGTTTTTGATAAGAGTACCACACCTGGATGTCGCTCTTTACATATGGCCTCATGTAACTACTAAGCATCTCCGAAAAAGGCAGGATCATACCAGGAAACGCCGGTCGCAGTGGGCCCAGGTGAAGCCTGATTTTAAATTGCATTCTCGGCCTGTTTTGAGAAACGAAGGTCATCGCTCTAGCGCGTCAAGATCACTCATGAGAAGCGCGTTAAAAACGTGCTCTCTTAACTGATATTCTCAGGTCCTCTGGTAGCGTATGCGCAACATTTGTAAAAGTACGAACAGGTTTCATCATCGTCATCACTACATGTTATTTGAAGGTGCGAAACATACTACAACTGATGTGCCGCAATAAAAAAGGCAAGATGTATGAAAAAGTGATATACAAAAATTACAGAATGTCCAAAAAATTAATACGGTGCCTAGTAGCAAGTTACGAATCGGGTGCGAGAGCGTGGATGTAGAGGAAAGATAAGCGGCAGGGATAAAGAGACTCATAACCTAAAGGTAATTGAGGCCGGCTCTTCGCCATGTCAACAAGTGTGTCCAACCAAACGTGTTCATCTCCCTTTGGATCCTAGCCCGGCAGTCGGGAGACACCAACAGATGCCAAGTTCGAAGAGAGATGATCTTCGTTCTTCCCGACCAAATCATCGCTTGGCCCCCGCTTCTCTTCTTCCATCCACACCCCGGTCGCACAAACAACGCACGACACGGGTGTCAGTGTGCTGGCATGCGCAGCACGTGATCCAGCCATCGGAACCTGGTGTGGGCATTAACGGTGCTGAGCGGTCCACTGGCTCTTAGTACAAAAATACACGAAGCGGAACACGATTATCACTCACGCGGTGTGCCAAGCAAATATGAGCTAAGTGCGAAGACAGCGATTGTCGAACGCCTGTCGGTTTAACGGACCAGGTTTCGCGTCAGTGCTTTAGGGTCGAACGCAGAGCTGCATTGTAAACTGTGCACTTCAGGGCGAAAGTCACATCGCGCCGGCGCCACTGGTGGCGGAAAGTGGCAACAGTGCCTTGAGATTTTGCTATACAGTTTATGACTTCATCTTCGATACAAGGGGCAATATAGCTGCCGAGATGCTTGAATTGCTGAACGACTTCTAGGTGAGCAACATTAAGGGTCGTTCGCTACAAGTCTTGGAGGGTTTTACTTTTCGTGGGTGCAAAGCGTAGCCCGAAACGATTGACAACCTGTGCTGATTTATCAAATGGTGCTTGGCACGTACGGGAGCTGACACAGGTAAGGCCATATGGTCAACGTACTTGAAATCAAGAAGTTGATCACCTTGGTGCAGCTCAATGCCTTCTAAGTCGTGTCTAATGAATACACGTACCATGACTCCGTCGACAAGGTTGTTAAAAGGATAGATAACAGCGGAAAACCTCGTCTTATATCGCTGGATATGTAAGTGCGGCGACCATAAACCTTCACGTTACCAAAGTTGACATTTACATAGTTATCGGGCACAAGATGCCTGAGCAGAGAGGCCAAAAATGCACATCAATCAACCGAATCGAACGCACCTCTGGTGTCTAGAAACACGACTACGATGGGTCGCCAATAACTATGGCGGTGTTCCAACAACTGACGTAAAGGTGTGGTATATATATATATATATATATATATATATATATATATACCACACGGCCAATGATAAAATTAGCATAGTGCTACAACTAATGGAAAATACAACAAACATACGAAGATAGAGGGGGAAAACGATGTTCATGGGAATAGTGAGTCACAACAAGTCCGCCATTGTGCATGATTTCTTGCCATATCCAAGAGCGTTTCCAGCCATGTAAATTCTGGCTCCTTCACACGCCAGCCAGGGAGCCGACAGCACCCGAGCACGGCTAACTTTGACGTTATCTCCTTCATGCTCCTGGTCCAAGTCATACGTTGGCCACCTTGCTTCCACTTCCAGCCGACGTCTGCGTGCGCGAAGAGGGTACGCAGAAGTAAGTGATGAGTAAGCATGCGGAGAACGTGCCCAAGTCACTGAAGTCTGCGCAGAGAAATTATACTGCTCAGTGGCCGGCAAAGTCTGTCTGATCTGAAAATCCTTCGTTAAATATCTTCATTCCTAGTGTGATGTTACCATCGTACATCAGCAATGCTCCAAAGACAGCGGTGATCAAAAACAGACAGCCTCTCAACATCCATTGTGCGAACAGGCCAAGTCTCGCAGCCATAGATGAGAACCGCTCGCATTGTGGCATTGTAAACTCTGCCCTTCAGAGCTAGAATCAGATCATCTCGACTCCAGATGGCGGGGATCGGCAAAAGCAACCAGAGGCAGTTTCCGAGGTAAACGAAGTTATCTACCACTTCCAATGACCTAGAAGGGTAAAGTCAGGAGCAGGGCTTGACCAGTCCAGCAGGAAAAGTTTGCATTTCGATGGTGCGTAGGTCATTCCAAACTGGAAGACAGACATCTTCAGCCTACACAGAACAGTTTGTGCGGTCTGTGAGGAAACGCAGATTACGGAGATGTCGTCTGCATACTCCAAATCCCGAAGTCGGTCCGCCGGAAGCAATTGGACGCCGTTGGGTTCGCAGTTCTCCAAAGCAATCCCCAAGATTTCTTCTATAGCGAAATTGAAAAGAAGGAGGATCCTAGGAAATCTTGTCTCACGCCCCTTTGGTGATACCAAAGGGGGCGAAAATCTGCCGTACACTCGCACTCGGCCCGAGGTTTGAAAGAAGATGGCTTAAAGAAAGGTGACATACTTCTCAGTAGACAACTCCATAGACCAGCTCTGTCGACTAGAGTCAAATGTGGCTCGTATGTCTAAAAAGACAACGATCGTTATCCGGACAAATGTTTGACGACGCCCAAGTATTTGGCGGAGTGTAAAGATGTGATCGATGCAACTCCGACCTAAGCGGAACCCAGACTGGTCTTCACGTATGCTCTGTTCGCGTACCAGGTTGAGCCTCCTTAGAAGCAGAGCTGCGAGTACCTTGGAAGCAACACAGATGAGACTAATCCCTCTATGGTTGGCTCAGACAGTTCGGGTACCCTTTATGGAGACGGGCACGATATCAGCTAGGCTCCAATCAGATGAGATAACTTCAGTGACCCAGATCTCTTGGAGGAGAGAAGTTAACTCAGGAACAAGTGATGGGCCACTATTTTTGAAAAGAGCCGGATGGAGTTTGTCTGGGCCAGGAGGTTTGTGGCGCTTTAAGAGGCGAAGCTCGTGGATCACCTCAGCCTCGGATGGTGGTGAAGCGTCTACACACCAGGGAGCGCGCTGGGCTCCAGAATGGGAACGCATTGATGCTGCTGGCCAATTAAACAGTTGCTCAAAGTGCTCGGCCCAACGCTGGAGTTGGTGTTTTTGATAGTGGATTGGCTCGCCTTTTGTTTCGTATAAAACTTCGATTACAGTCGACCTTTTGCCGCCAGTGGATCGGATCAGGAGGAAAAGGTTACGAAAATTCCCCGAGGTGGCCGCTTGCTCCATCTCAAAGACTGGCTGCGTCCACCAGACCTCGCGATCTTCCCGAAGAAGTTGTTTGAGTTTAGCGTTAGTAGTCTTGCGTAGTTAATGGTATTTAGCGCTAGCAGGAATTGCTGTACGGTCTTCGAGAAGTTGGAGGGATCGTGCAGAGACCCAGTAGTTGACGGGACTACTGGTGAATCCACAGACCAGGATTGTAGAGTTGTACATGGCACCGCGGATGTGTGTCCAGTGTGCTTCAATGTCTGTGTATGAGGCAGTCTTCAGCCGTGAGGCCAAGGCATCCTGAAATGCGCAGAGAACGTTTGGGGCAGAAAGCTTAGATATGTCAAGCCATTTCTGGCGACGTTGCTGAGAGCCAGCGAAACGTAGCGCAACGTTGGCACACACCAGCGCGTGATCCGAAGTGTGATAGGTACTCAAGATTGATTTGTAATCGTGTATACCCCTGCCAGCGATACCTAATAGCAATGTGGTCAATTTGTGTCCATGGCTTGCCAGGTGATGGGGTCTCCAGGTGGCGCGTTGGCGCCAGGATCCTCGAAAGCTAGTGCTCGACAAAAAGAGGCCGTGATCGACGCAAAGCTGAAGTAGTCGATCACCGCTGTCAGTTCTCCGAGTGCCATGGCCGTGTTGAGCACCAAGTTCATGTTCGTCAATTTCAAGTCTACCGACCTGCGCGTTCAAGTCCCCGGTGAGCACCATGATGTCGATACGGCGCTTTTTACGGTCGGCCAACTGACCATAGAACTCATCTTTAACTGACTTCGGGCTGCGATCTGTGGGAGC